TTGCATCAATTTGTGCACACACACAAACACACCCAGAAAAACAAATACAGCTTGAATTTTGTGGTGCTTCATTTTTCTGTCCTAAGTGTACGTTTCTTTCGTGATCAGTGTTGTGTCGTTGCATGATAATCCATGTATAAACACAATCAGACGAGAGGAAGGGCCGGGCTGGCACAAATGCTTTAGGATTTTCCTGAAGTGGTAAAGTATCGATCCGGAAGGACGGATTTGAGGGGTGAGCACTCGTCACTTGAATATTGATAAACCATATAAGCAGGAGATATCATTTGGTACAGTGCCTGTCGATATAGAAATGTTCATAATAAAGGTTAACGGTTTAGAGATTGACCGGATCACTTCCTTGACCAGTGAATTACTAATTAAACCAAAGCCAGAGCTCTTTTTGTTTGGCAACGTATGTACTATATCAATTATTTCTTCCTCAATAGAAGGACTTAAGAATATAGAATTAGGTTGAGGGTCAAGTAAATAATCAGAATAATTGAGATCATTAGAAGGAATTTTATTGCAGAGGTTTTTACCAATGTTGGCGAAAAATTCATTAAAATGATTAGTAATCAAGTGTAGATTGCAAGCAGCGACACCTTCTACCTCAATAGTACTTATTTGTGGATTAGAATTAGTGTGAACTGTATGATTAATTATCTTCCAAGTATTTTTAATATTACCCTTTTCTTTGTCGAATTGTTTAGTATAATAATTACGTTTAGAGGTACGAATAGCACTAGTTAAAAAGTCCCCAAAATTTGTCATATGAAGTCATATGAATGATTTACAGTTTGATAAGGATTATCTGGATCAACGACAAGAGGCTGTTCGAGGGAGTTGAGGTAGGGAATAATTAGATTTTCTACGTTACTAAATTGGTGAATATGTGAGTTCAAGACTGAATTTGCAGCCGCAAATTCCTCAGAATCCAAGGAATTAAAAGGGAAAATATAATCAAGACAGATAGGGCAAAATCAATTTTCATAACTATGTGTTAAGTTATAATAGTCAATAAGATCGAGGTTGGTACATTTAAGGTGGGTCCACAGTTTACAGGAATCACAGAAAATTCCATTTTGGTTTGTTCTTACAGGGTTACAACATACACTACATGGAAACGTAATGGGAAATTAATAACAGAACAATTTATACACATATACAATACCAATAACAAATACCAGATAACATATAACAGGAATGGATGGGATTGACCATTAAAAGGCCGTACAAGTCAAAAAAGTAAGTTTTTACCCGGGGTACTTCAACATTAAAAAAATTCACCGAAATCAAATGGCAAACTGAAGTCGAAGGAAGTCCTGCTGATACCCGGAGAGCCCAGGTAAGAAGAGCCTCTCGGACCCATTAAAGATTACATAGCACTCGGGGGAAATTCCCAGACGATTTGTTATTGTAGAAATAGCTGAAGAAGCACTTGAACTAACAGTGCCGTTGTCAGAATTAGAGGCTGACAATTTAATTTTGTTTTATGACGTAATAAGAGATTATATTCGAGATTATGAAACAGGGAATTTAGAAGAATTTAGCGCCTCAATTACCCAAAAAATAAATGATCTCAACGAGCAACTAAAAATGTGAAGAGATCCACATTTGAATAGAGAACATATAAGATTTGGTGACGAGGACGATTATGCAATAGCTTATCTAGTTTTTATAGCTCAAAATAAATCGATAACTATGAAGAAGCCCGTCGTGTCGCTTTAGAATTTATTCCAGACGGATTTTTAAGCGACGACAGCGAAGAAAGAACGAGAACCATTAGAGCCGTTAAATCTAACGACACAGACGGTCTTTATATTGTGGCCTCTAGTTCTAACGCCCCAGTGACGCATCGGTTACACAAGAGAGAAACTCCCACAGATTTTTTGCAAGGTGATGAACGCAGGAGTGTAGTCATTCCTCCGGTGTTTTATAACGTGGATTGGTTTGATTTTATATTAAACGCTATTCTGGGTGTGAGTTTAAAGTTCATGAGAAGTCAAACTTAGTGACAATTATGATAACGGATTTAATACTGAAATTGCGGATAGGCAAAGAAGTCAGCAGGCTGCTAAATTTGCCGAGAGGTAGACTCGTTCCAAACGTTATTTACAAGGGGAAAATAAACTCAAACCCTTTAAAGGAACTTTGGATACACTGTTGAGAAATAAATAATCATTTTTATTTTAACGGGCAACCTTCATATGTATTATAGCGCGTTAGAACCGAGCAAAACTATTGTTAAACCACTTGTAAACAATCAAATAACGAGTTTTGAATTTTCATTAAGAAACAAGCGAGGAGAAGTCATTAACAATAAAGACGGTACAATTTTACTCGAGCTAGACGTTTTTTAAATAATAAAAAGACATGTAGTCAAACATATACCCTACGCTAGAATTACCAGACAGATCATCAAAAGCCACTGAAGCAAACGAAACCAAAGTTTACCGCCTTCAAAAGATCGAGGACATCCTCAGACAAATCTTACGAGAGCGCGAAGCCAGAGATACTTCTTACAAAAAGATCAAACGGCTATTAACGGCGATAGATTACGTGGAATACGGAGTCGAAGCATTGGGTGCAACATATAGGAATCCCCACGCTATTGGGAGCAGTAGCAGCACCCATCAGGTAAGTGATGGAGGGCATAGCCATGCATTCGGAGCATATGCGTTGATGAAATACGCCAGTCGCAGGTTGTCTCACAAAACCAAAAAGCACGACCAAATCCGCATGCTTGCAGGCGCCAAGCTAAACACCGTCGACAAATACGTCTCTCACGCAATCGAAGACGGTGACGTGTTCCAAGAAGAAGTTGTTTTGATTTTGTCCGAACTTAGGAAATTTCCCGATATGAAGGAAAAGATTCGCGCAAACACAACGACCAACTTACAAGAAAACAACATGACAAGCAAAGAAGAACTTGACTGTCAAGTGCAAGCAAAGGAGGAAACATTGGTCAACGAAAGGACAGCAGTTTATAAAAAAAAGACCCTATGAAAAACCTTGGCGAATAACTTTAACCAAGTCTGTCCAATACAAGGAACTGCCTCCTGCCTATCAAGAACAAGTGAAACCCACCGCACCTGCTTTTTAAAACTGGTTTATCATAAAACAGATGGGCGCCAACTTTAGTCAATTATCGATCGTGGTCAGTAAAGACTATTACTTTTCTGCCGTATTCCCCGTTTATCCTCAAAGCAGACGAAGCCGTCAACCGTTGGGTTACAGATCCTATGTCGTTTTATCAACAGCCTGTGAGGCAGGTTCCGATTTACTATCTAACCAGAATCCATATGTATCGGCATCGTTTAATTTTCACGTGTACTACACAGTAGGAAAAATCTTTTACGACTGCGTCATGCCTCTACCGAGCGACGACATATTTGACGCGTTGCACAATAATTACGACCATCGGAAATTTACAGACACTTGCCTGTTGTTTAACGTAGATTCAAGTTAGTCGTTTGAACAAACACGCAACACTTTGTCCAACGGATTAGGAACTGCTTACTATTACGATAATGGATACGTCCCGGTCCCAGGCCAAAAACTATGACTCACACGACTTACACGTGCCCAACGGTAAGTATGTGAGCTCCACTTACATGGGCTTTGGATGGGAGGGCTCGGGTCACGCGAGCACCTATACCGTGTCTTGGATTAAACAGTCTGACGCAGTTAAATTGTCTTGGCTCGACGTTATCCCTAAAAAGAGTAAACTTACAGACGTAGGCGTCAAAAAAGTAAAGGAATCGATTAGAGCTCAAGTTTATGCGTTACTAGGCGCGCAGGCACAAACAATGGCAAGCGTAATGGCACATGGCACCGGACTAGACGCCCAACAGCAGCAATTACGCGCATCAGATAGACGTGCTATATTTACCGTGGGATCAGTAAACCGTGAAACTTATAAATACGCGTTAACTGTGGTCGACGTTGGGTGTAGATATAAAGAAGCTGAATCGTTGACCAGTAAAACGGCTGAACAAGTGTTTATCACCGTGAAACGGATATACGGCCGATCGCCTTTGACTTGGCCTAAATTTGTCATGGTCGATTCGGGATCGGAATTTAAAGGCGAGTTTAAGGACCAGTTGGTCAGAAACAACGTTAAAATTCAAGTGGGTGGACCGGGTGTTTATCGGTCGCAGGGAATGGTCGAACGATTCATTAGGACTTTAGCCGAACGGTTGTTTGGTCATCAATATGCGCAGGAAATATTAAACGTTGGTGAACGTAACGTGGAATGGGTCAAACGTTTACCTCAGGTTATAAAAGCGAAGAAAAGACTAGACTAATCGACAAAAGCCCGCAGCAGCTATCAAGTTAGATCTGGTAAA